CACGAACCAAACGGTATTTGATGTGTTTCTTATTTTTCTTTAAGCATAGACTGTGTCAGAAAGTGTATCAGCGAATAATTATCATAAAACTTAATATATTAAGTCCATAAATTTATCACAGTATTGTTTTTCTCTTTGCTAAACATGTTTACACAAAGGTTAGCTTGTGTACAGCACGCTTTATGAAGCTGCAGTGCATTTTCTCCCAGCTTCCTGTGAACAACATCAGCTATACACACCTAAATACACTGTACATACAATACAATAAACCACTCCTAAATTACTGTATTTTATGTTGGCACTTCAGGACATAAAGTTGTTACAGTGAAGAAGAAATTATAACTTTATGAGATTGTATCTGAAAGATAAGAGAGTTGCAATTTCTTCTATTTTAGTCAAAAAAGAAAACATTCAGGCTCACACGTGTCTGTGAAGAGTGACGAGTCAAAGAATGAAGGACCAGACTTCAGTGAAGAAACAACACGAACCAAACGGTATTTGATGTGTTTCTTATTTTTGTTTAAACATAGACTGTGTCAGAAAGTGTATCAGCGAATAATTATCATAAAACTTAATATATTAAGTCCATAAATTTATCACAGTATTGTTTTTCTCTTTGCTAAACATGTTTACACAAAGGTTAGCTTGTGTACAGCACGCTTTATGAAGCTGCAGTGCATTTTCTCCCAGCTTCCTGTGAACAACATCAGCTATACACACCTAAATACACTGTACATACAATACAATAAACCACTCCTAAATTACTGTATTTTATGTTGGCACTTCAGGACATAAAGTTGTTACAGTGAAGAAGAAATTATAACTTCATGAGATTGTATCTGAAAGATAAGAGAGTTGCAAAATAAAAGCTTGCTTCTGTGAAACGTTCAGCTCAGACTTGGACTCGGGGTCAAACAGATACACAATTATTACAACAGCATTGTTACTGTTATTATTACACCCAATAAACAGTGATGAACTTTTAAAATAGCGTCATATGGTCCCTTTAATTGAAGCATGCTAACAGAACTGTCTAGCGCTGACATTTCTGCTCTCTATTTAAGTCAAAAAATAAAAAATAAAATCTCTTTAATTAGATCAGTCAAATATTTGTACAAATATATTTAGTCTCACATTTGAAGTACTTTAAATAAATTGTTAAATAAATGTGAGTCTGTAAAGAAGAATGACTGCTATCTTTAAAACTCT